TAGTTTTTACCGCATCTAACCTAACCTAACCCAACCTATCCTAACCTAACCTAACCTATACTAACATCCTATCCTATCATCCTATCCTAACCATCTCTCACAGCGCTTGAGGAATCCTTTTCGACAGGGAAATTTATAAATTTAGAGCCACTAACCCCTCAACACACCTATAACTACCCCATCCTAATAACGTGACGTCCTGTACCACCAACAGGTGACGCCACGCCTATAACAACCCCATCCTTGGGATCAACGTGACGCCCCCAACAAGACGTAAAGTGGCGTATATTGTGCGGGTGGTGGTAACTAACGTACGCTTAAAGCAACAACTATCCCCAACAACTATCATTACCAGCCGTTCCACAACCCCCTAAAAGGCGGTGAATTACTTACCTAGTAACTCCCCACCCCCCTCCCCCCCCCTTCCCCTCGCTCCGCCCCGCCCCCAATATTTACAACCCATCGTGAAAACAGCCGCCGTCATTACTTAACCATTTTTATGCATCTGGATTTCTTATTATCGTCAATAACTGAACTTCTAAAAACTTTTCGCCACATTCATGGTATATGTTATTATTATTATTATTTCTCAAGGAGGGCGATAAGCGTCTGCTATCTTCATCTGTTTATTGTTATTTTGCAGTCATGTCTCTCCTTCTTTCCTTCATTTTCTCTTTCACTTCCTTTTCCATTTCCAATAATTAGATCTGTTTGCACTGATTCCCGTTATGAATACAAAGTCACTTTTTCGGGGGAGGGCTAATATTCTTTCCTATATTCCAAACTCATCGTTATTCTGCCATTATGCTGTTCGATTCCGTTCGTAAATTTCAGTGACGATGCGAAATAATATACCAAATACGATCGTTTCAAAGGCGTTGTTGCTCTGTAGATACTCACGTACCATATAATTAACATTTCACCTTTCAATCCCATCTGTTTAATGACGTGATCATTAACGAATATAATGGTCTTAAAAACCTTGTTCTCCTCTATAGAAACGAATAAACTGTACAATCTCTCCACCTTTCTATAAATGCTATTCTGTTTTGTTTTTTCTCCAACATGGTGGGTTTCTAGCGTGAGCTGCCTTTTCTTTACGGTCATTGCGACTATAAATTGAAACTTTAGTTCACATCGCTTGTGAGGCGGAGTATGACAGTTACATTTGTGAGGTAATGTTGTGTTGCTGGCTGATGGGGCAGGTGAAGGGATATACTGTAGGTGAGGAGGGGAAGGTGAAAGGAGACATGTGAGGGAAACAGGTGAGAGTAGACTAACAAGGGGAAAATGTGACAGCAGACAGGTGAGAGCAGATGTGAGGAAGGGCAGGTGAGTACACACACCACCTGTACACAAGCACAACATTCGACAGCAGGGAACCACTGTAAACACTGAAGAATCAAATAAACCCTCATGAACCTGAAATATATATATATATATATATATATATATATATATATATATATATATATATATATATATATATATATATATATATATATATATTCGTGTGTGTGTGTGTGTGTGCAGTGGATAAGCGTCCTGCCTACCATTTGTGGTGGTCCAGGTTCGATACCCGGCATCCTTTTGTGTGCGCGCGCTCGCACATACAATTTATTAAAAATACGATAATTAGTACTTTGAAAATTTAATTTAATTATTTAACGTGGTTTGATATTTAATTTATATAAATATCCTCATTGTCGGGTAGAGATCCTCACTCGACCATAGAAATTAACGCAAGCCAGACAGGCTGAAACGATGCATTTCGTCTGAGCAAGACGGGCTAGAAGATTTAATAATTCGTGGAAAAAACGACGGAAACCGGGAGAGCTGACGGAAAAAAATGCGAGTGTGACGCCGCCTTAGCAGAGACGTAACCGACCGCGCAAGCAATGGCGAAGAGGATAAAGTACAACACAAGCGACAGGCTCTGTCAAGTCTTTAATTTCTGCATTCAAGGTAGGAGGAAGCCGGGAGTTATGGGTGAAAAACAATGATTTAACTCGCTCCTTTATCTGAGAGTAATTCAGGTAAGGATAAGCACCTGTGTCTTACATAAAATGTTGTCCTCTACCCCATTATGGCTTGGGCTGGGAAAGCTTAATATAAGAGCCAAAACAAAAGAGTATTCCATAAACAATTTTCGTTTTCTCTCATAATGATAAAGAATCATTAACCATGGGCTACTACTGAAGAAAAACAAATTCATTAAAAGGGAAAGAAAAAGAAAAGTACCCAGCACTATTTATACTGTAAAAAAGGGGGCGGGAAATAAAAGGAAAGGGCTAAACGCAAGCAGTTTAACACAAACAGTTAAAATAATAGAGTTGTAGAAGGTGCATCACATCACAAATGCGAGTTTAATTAGCAGATTTTAAAGTTAGTTCACGATTAAATTGCAAAAATTTAGAAACCTTTAATCACTAACTTTAAAGCTTATCTGGGTGATAAACAGAGCCAGGAGACAGCAGGAAACTCCTCACTCGCTTTATCTCCCACCCAGGAGGAGGTGAGCACCGAATAAACAATGTCATCTCTGACCACATCCCACAAAATACAATGTATTTAGCTGCTGAGAATGGGGGGGGGGCGGAGTCACTACCAAGATCAGAGACGTTACCGAGAACAAGTTCCAGCTTGAAAGTCATGGACACTAGTACTGACACGTTCCTTGATAAGAGAGAGGAGTTTGAAACAGTGCTGAAGGAACAACAACTCTATATACTAGGTGCTGTAGAACTGTTGCACAAGGACAGGCGAATCGACCCAGAGGAATGCGAGTTCGGTATAGAGTTAGACGAATATGACACCACGAACCTTACTCAAGCAACTTGCAAGAGGGGTGTGGTTATCTATGCTAGGCAAGATCTTAGAGTCACCCAGGTGAGGGTACAGGGATTGAATATTTTTGAAGAATCAAAGTGGTGTAAAATTAAATTAAAGGTCGAGAGACTTACTTATTGTAGGGTGTATCTACAGATCCCAAAACTATAGTTTACTAAATCAAAGGAACTTAAGAGCCTTAGAGACAACACCCTAGCCACCTCCTTGTTATGGGGGAATTAAACTATGGCAACATCGACTGGAGAAATGAGATCACGCCAAATGATTTAAATAACTCAGCTACTTGTTTTTGTAGAAACACTGAGATATTAATTTTCTGTTCCAGTATGTTAAGGACCCGACGCATTACAGAGGAGCTAACACCCAAGCCACTGGACCTCAAGATAACAAACGATGAGTGTATAGTGGCCAAACTGGAACACCTATCCCCGTTGGCACCAGCCACCATGTAATGTTGTCCTTCAGATTTAACTGTTACTTAGTTCACGACAAAATCAGGCCATATTACAATGAAAATTACGACGGGATGAGGGAGGAGATGAGGGGTATCCACTGGCTTGGCTCACTAAGGTATAAGAAGGCAGACACTACGCTGAATATCATAGCCAGTAAAGTGAACCATCTGATCGAGAAATATATACCCAAGAACAAACCCAGTGCCTCTAGGAATACAAGGAGATCACTACACATGAACCATCCGCCGCTAAGAGAAAAGGGAGAGGCACCCAAGGCAAACACCTTAGATCATTCCGCTGTTCTAAAAAAAATGCAGCCACTTTTCTTCATAGCACAGTGAAGGAGTTTCAGAAATCAAACCCAACAGTGGCTAATTTTGAAACCCTGTAGTTATACGTTCTACTACAGTGCCGGATTTAGACCTGTGGAGGCCCATGGGCAGCCTCTTTGTGGAGGCCCCCCTCATTATAACTACCCAAGAGGGTGGGGTGGCGAGGGAAGCGAGCCTAAACATCTGGGAGTTCCTGGGGCGCTGTAAGCCCCCCGGGAAAATTTTGAAATTTGAACACTTTGGAGAATTTTGAAGCCATATGGAGTTATATTGAGGAAATTAGAACATTGAGAAATGTTTAATTAACTGTTTATTTATTGATAGTGTACAAATTCCCAACACACACACACACACACACACAAAAGTGAGACGTGACTGGAGTTATTCATGTGGTTTCAAGTCGACCAGCCCTGATATAGCTACTACCGCACATGTCAACAAATTTCAAGAGACTTCACAGAAAAGAATATATATTATTAGTTATTACAGAGAGATGATTCTTTGCATTATTAATCAGATAAACCTCTACTCAAATAATGAAAATAAAAATAATCCAAATGAATAAACAAATAAATAAAATATTGTAATATGTAAAGGCCACCAGATTGTGGAGGCCCCTAGGCAGCTGCAAACTTTGCCCACTCCTGAATCCGGCCCTGTTCTACTAATGCATGTAGACTGACAGACTGGAAATATGCAACAAGAATGAGACCTAATTATGGACTGTACATGTAGTGTGCAGTTGTGAGTGTGACAACAATGTCGAGTTGGCGGTATACGGTACCCCTATTTACATAAATTTTAACTACTAAAGCTGTGCCATATGCACTGCTATCATACATATTTGGAATCTAGGGGTTTTAAGCTTTCCAATGATATATGATAACTTTAGTCACTTTTGGTGGTGCCTCTAACGGAGTCTAACCCCTGTTGGCCCACCGACTATATGGGCCAACAGCCCTCCACAGTTTCCTCCAATCTTATGTTCTTATGAAATAAGAGACAAATTGGCGAAATGAAACCTAACAAAACCCTTTGTCTTGGCGATTGTTCACTACAATTTTGACCTTTTACTTAAGTTCACAGAACTGAACACCATAGACCTTGAAAATGTAAATTGCCGAAGCCGATAAGTATATACTAAATTCATCATGAAATGCAGGAAGTTACCTTCAAATATAAAACTTATCACTGTTGTTCAGATCTTCCTGCTGTACTGTATCTTTCAACATTATGCATCAAAGCAAATATGATACTGATTAAGTGTATACGCGAGATATTACTTAGAAAATGTATTTTGTACAATTTAACATAAATAATAAACATTGATTTACATTCTCTTGCGAGTCAAGATGTTGACGGTATGTGAAGCAGCGGTGTGTTGACATTGTTGAGTCCGGACGAACAACGCTAAAACAAAGATGTTCGTCTCTGAACTCTCACACCTTATGCAGATGTGATATATATGAGCGTTAATTTTGGGTGATAGTTTCAGTAAGTATAGCGCATTTTCATAATGAAGGAAACTTGACATAGGAAATGCAATATAATTTGCAAAGAAAAACAGGTGAATGAACTTATGACCCTGAGTGAATATCCGGAAGTTGCTTTCACTGTAAGTATGCACCAAAAAGTCCGTGTCAGTAGGTTTGGTAGTTATACTTTACTCATTACTATTGGCAAGCCGACTGAAATAGTCTTAGTAACCAGCAGATTTCTTATTGGGATTAAAACTACTTAGTATAAAGTACAGTGCTGTACAGTATATTAGAACATGAAATACCTGTTACTACTGTATAAGAAACCTATACTGTGTGACAACTAATTTCACAACAGTTATAGAGTAGGAAAGTAATAGAACAATTATTATTTCATTAAAAATATCACCGAAACATTACAAGTCATGCATTTAACCAATCTTATTCTAGTGGGGCTAATGACTCCCCTTTTTTTTCAATTTAGGGTATATTTGTTGGTCTATCCATTAACAATAACTTAATTACTGTTCTACATCGGGGTTACAGCACATTATGTATTATATCTAATTCTTGCAAAACATCCAATGACCCATGTTTGTAGTTTGAGGAATCCGATATATTTTAAATGTAACTTAATTTTTCAGTTTACAGCATCTTCCTTCAGACAGCATGACATTCAAGATTTTCTTTTTTACATACACGTTACTTTTAAGTTAGGTTAGTTCAAGTTAGATAATTAACTTAGAAATAAAAAGGTGACTTTAAAGAATAAAATTAATGACAGCTCTTACCATGATCCTCTAAATCCACTCTTAAGAGTTTATTTTCATGAGTTGTACAGTAGTAATACTGTATATACCATATCCAAAACAAGGGTGACCATAAATTAGCTTAGCCATGATACTGCCCTGTCTAACCAAATTGAGTGTTGTATCTAATATATGTCTCCACCTACTTGATGTCTAACTGTAACAAATTGGCTTTCGTTATTGTCAATACAGTACAGTATATACTGCATGTGCAGTACAGGGTACTATATTGGTCAGCAGAATCTGGTATCTTATGTGTTGTCACTTAATATTTTAAAAGAATCCTGATGATGTCCATTATTATTAATTCTATCAGTGGCTGCTTTTATACAAAATATAGGACAATATTTTTTATAACTCACTACGAACAAGTCAACTGATAGAAAGGCCACTATTATTTTGGTTCTACTGTAGCTATGTCAAAGGCAGCCACTCAGTAATATGTGCATTTATTCAACCTTCACCAATCAGCAGCATCTTGCTCCATATTTAAAACCTATACAGTTCCGGTATGGACTTGGTGTTTGCACACCATTCAGTTGTGTGTAGCTAACAGCCTGACAGTTGTGTTTGTGTGATACAGTGATATCGTACTGCAGTTTCACAGCTTAAAGTAAATGAAGCAGACTTCATTTTTCCATGAGAAAGAATAACAAGCAACATCTTCCAACACCAGCCTTGGGGTGTCTGTTTGCTGCTTTGAGGGTAGTGATATGTGGTGAGCTCCAGTATTTTACCTATGCATTAAGGAATAATTATTTTATATTACAAGGCATACCATTTTATATTATTGGGTATTATTATTTGATAGGGCAATATCTAAATATTACTGGGCATCTTGTTAAATTGTTCTTTAAAAAGTTCTAGGTAATGGTGTGAGCTGATATGTGAAGATAAGGATGACCATAGGAACTGAACCCCATTCTACCCATATGAGATAAATAAATAATGTTTGCAAAATTTAAGTTTACTGTACTTAGCAAAAATAATTACACAATACTGTAATTAACTATTTACTGAAGAACAGCATATGAACATTACATTTATCAAGATTAATCTATACAAAATACAGCATAATGCTTTATATTTAATGTATTTTACAATTTTATTTTCAGAGATGTAATCCAGATAAGCTTTCATTCATTCAAGATTTTGCTATGAACTGACACTTTGTTCACCAGAAACATTCAACAATGAGTGGGGGAAAGACAATCACTCTGAATGTTAGTTCCAAGGTAAGCTATGAGCCTTGTAAACACCCAAGATAATTAATTAATTTATCTTTAGCTATATAGTAGTCACTCAATAACACGCACCATGATAAGAATTTCCCAATTATGTGACACCCCTTTTTTACACCCACTAATAGGCATTAACACAAATCTGATAGCTCAAGCCAAACTGAGTGGTGGCGAGCCATGGAAAATTTCCTACATAATCCACCAGTTCACCACTAGCAAAATTCCGAATCATCCAGCTGTAGTCATGATGAGTGGCCAGCTAGGCAAGTGCACTTACATATTCCTTTTCTATATCCTGAGATGAAGTCAATGGCAGGCTAACCCAGGTTGCTTAGCCAGTAAGCCTAGACAACAAGGTGGTGTCTGTTTATCATCGTGTTCTTAGCCAAGTGGAATGGACATTACCTTTTGTTTATTTATTTATCATTTCCACCACGTATCAGCTAGTTTCTCATTATTTTTACAATCAACCTCAACAACGATAAGTCAACATTGGTACCATTGGATAACACAATCTTGGACGGAACTAGATCAGACACCCCAGGCTCGCCCCACTAGTCCAGCACCAGTTAATATATCACATACTACACAAACTGTATGGTTTTATGTATTATCATCCCAGTTTTATTATGTCTTAACCCTTAAGCCCCGGGTTATGGTGCTGCTGGCTGTAACCCCCCCCGTGTGGATAAATCGATAAAAAAATAAACTTCCAAAAATAATATAAAAAAAAATTGGCGGGCTGATCGGACGTTCTGGAATGTCACCAGGGGCCTAAGGGTTAAAGCACTACTCTTTGTTCGAACCTTGCCGGCATTTTATGTTGTGTAAATCCATTACAGGGTATTGAGCATTTTGTGGTGTACAGGAGTATAATTAATGTAAAATTAAATTTAATTAAAAAAATGGCACTCATTCATGGATGAATCCTTATATAGTACATGTATAGAATAATACCTGTGAATTGGCTGGGGTGACTGATAAGTTAACTGTCCCAGTAATTTTCCTACCTAAAACAAATGTACAGTGTACTACATGAAGCATGATATGGTGCTACAGTATGGTGAGTGTTGTGTAGTGTACTGTACTACATACAGTACAATACTATTCTTTCTGTATTTTTTTTTTTTTATTTGAATTCATTCCATTTGGCAACCATCACAAGTTATGCTAACACTGCAGTTTTTCAGAATTGAGTATTAAGTTGGAATATTTTGAAAACTTATGAATTACTGTATGAAACAGAATTCAACTTACATTAGAACTCTCCTGAATTTGGAAATGCTTGAGTATCTACTACAGTACAGTATTCTAAATTGTAAAGGGATTATTGTATAATTGAACATTGTTAGACAGATGCCATTGAAAACTGTATGAAATGTATAGCAAATAATATTTCCTCAGGTTGCTGTTGCAGCAGCCCTGGGTGCTGGAGTGGTAGTGGGGGCAGGCACAGCATATCTTCTTACCCGCCTAAATGAGCACACTCGCCTCACACAACAGATTTCCAGTCTCCATGCTACCATATTAGAGGTGAAGAAGGATATTGCTTCATTGGAGACAGGTAACAAGACTAACATAATTTACTTAACATATTAATGTGCCTGTGAATATGTATAGCACTTGCTTCCTCTCTTAACGGTCACTGATTCATGTCTGGGATATCCCCAGGCAACCCAGCTGTGAATGGGTACGGACTTTAACTGGGTAAATGAAGGCACTTAAGTGTGGTGTTGGCCACACTGCCTCCTTGTGTACTAAGGCTTAGTATTCAAGGTGATGTATCAGCACTGCCACTACCATTTAACTTGAAGGAGTTTCTTGAGAGTTTTATTAATCTTCGAACTCCTCTACATAATTGTTTTAAACATGATATTCTTTCTGTTGAGGCTTCAGTTACCCATGGCTTGTGTGTGTGACTAGGATGATACATATGGATAAAAAAATACTGTTATGTACTATATTTGTAAAAATTTGTTTTTCCATGAATAAGTGTATTGGGGATTGCTATCTGTATTTCATTTACTCCTCAATCTTGTTATTTATAGGTCTTACCTTTGACCTATAGCAATGCAGTCATTAAAATGATTTATAATCTATAAATTGATATAATACTGTAATAATAATAATAATAATAATAATAGATGCCCCTCGAGATCGAAGATGGCCGGCCCTAGGGCCACCTAGGCGTGAATTTGTTTAAGGTCTAGAAGCTGTTGCCAACACAACAACCACACCTAAGTTAACGAGCTGCATGACCTTGTGTCAAGGAACAGTCCGAGAAGACCGGACAACTTGCCAGCAGCACTGGCTAACCATTACACCGAACACGATCTGCAAATCAATTAACATCCAGGTCCCCAATTACTGATGGGTAGACAGAGGCAAATGGCATAAACTTACCCATAATTTCACCCTGCCCAGGGATCGAGTCAGTTCGCATGCAGGCGCATAAGAACATAACATAAGAACATAAGAAAGTGGGATACTGCAGGAGGCCGACTGGCCCATACAGGGCAGATCCCTTTCACACCCATCCCAGCACTTCCATGTGCCTATCCAACTTCGTCTTGAAGCTCCCTAGCCCCGATCCTACTATAGCACTCGGTAGCCTATTCCACATATCCACAACTCTATTACCAAACCAGTGCTTGCCTATCCTTTCTGAATCGGAATTTATCTAATTTAAAGCCATTTGTTCTAGTTATTTCGTTATTACTGAGCTTCAGAACATCTTCCATTTTACCATTGTTAATCCCACTTACCCACTTGTACACCTCTATCATATCTCCCTAACTCTCGCCTCTCTAATGAATGTGCCTAAGCTTTTCAGTCTTTCTTCATATGGAAGGTTTCTAATATTATGGATCATTTTTGTCATTCTTCTTGTACTCTCTCCAAAGAATCTATGTCCATTCTATAATAAGGACACCAGAACTGAACCGCATAATCCATGTGTGGCCTCACTAATGCTAGGTAAAGTTTCAAGATAACGCCAGCAGTTCTGTTACTCACAGACCTAGATATGAACCCAAGAATCCTGTTTGCCTTGTTGCTAACGCTAATACATTGTTTTCTAGGTTTCAAGTCGCTAACAAAAATACACCTAGATCTTTTTCACAAACTGAGTTTTCTATTTCCGTGTTACCTAGTTTATACTTAACGTTTGTATTCGTCTTCCTATCTGTAGTACCTTGCATTTATCAGTATTAAAATTCATTTGCCAGTTACTGACCACTCATGTAGGGTATCTAGATCTCTTTGAAGTGTTCAAAGTCACTGTCTGAATTTATCACTCTCCCCATTTTGGTATCATCTGCAAATTTACTAATCCTACTAGTTATGCCTAAATCAAGATCATTAATGAATATGCTGACCATTACACCATAGGTTGTCAGAAGCTCTGAAGAATTTTGCCAACCTGTGGGTATAATTTTGTGAGATATGACTTCAAAATTCATGAAAGTAGTTTATAAAAGGAAGAAACAACTTGAGAAGAGCTATTGTAAAAGGTCTTATCAGTATTTTTTATCAAATAAGCTGTGAATATTTAGTGTACCTGTATATGAATAATGAAAGAGGGCCATTGGTCAGTTAGTAATGTTGTGGACACCATACCCAAGAAAGAGAAGTTTATTCCTATTCAGGTATCCTCGATATATGAATAGGTTACTAGTAGGTTCCCCAAAAAACATTCGTTAAATGAATTTTCTATCTCAAATAGAACATACTGTACTTAGGCAAGGTAATTAGAATTTTTTTTTATTTGGTGTGGCACTTTCTGGCATGGTCTTTCTTCATGTAAAAGTCCTGGACTAAACTAACTATAATTTCCTGGAAGTTGGGTTTAAAGAATGTTAACTTTAGAATAACATTGACGTTTACCAAATAGTTTATGAACGACCTAGATCACGGTTACTAAATCATATTCTTTTCCTTTTATCAAGGTCTAACACACAAAGATATTCCTTGGGATGCTGAAGGTAAAGTACAATATTAAGAGCTTGTTAAAAATTTTCTATTCGGTAAAATGTAATACGTACAGGAAACTGGCTGAAATAACAAAAAGTGAATGCAATACATTACATGTAAAAGTGCTAACATTCGAACATGAACTTTTACTGTATTTCCTCTGCATATCCTTTTCTGCTTTACCTTTCTTATTATTTCTGTAACTCTCATACAGTATTTACAGTATTCTTACTTGTCTCTTTATTATATTACATAGTCATCTTCATTACCACCTGTTCTCTTTTTCTTACTTTACACCTCTTGTACCTCTTTTACTGTATTGCTTGGAAGAAACAACATGAAACAACCATTTGGATAAATAAATACTAATAGGACTCTGCCATTTGCTGATTCAATATGTTAACATTTACTTAATTTTTTATGCAAGTTAATATAACAGACTGTATCGTAAAGTTTAGTTTAAAATCTGTACCTCTTTCAATACATTGTATACAGTACAATATACTGTATCATACACATTCATGAACAATATGTACAGTATATGAAAATGTCCACATAGTGCCATATATAAACAATAAAGTTTGATCCAATTGTCAACTTTGGCTCAGGTGGAAGAAACCTCAAGTCATTAAACCACTGTAAAGGGACCTAAAGGCATTACAGAGCAGTGTTTACTATTGACAGTATTTATCATTTCACCATTTGGGCGGTTGGTCCATCCGGTGTTAGTACAGGAGGAAACTGGAACACACCCAACTAATTTTATTACAAGACCCATGTCCCATTCCATGATAGATGAGGGTTTAAATTAAAGATGTGTCCGAAGTATTGGTATGAGTGGTATCGGGTAATTTTGGAGGTATCGATATCGGTGAAAAATGGTCCGATACCAGCCAATACTTTTACCAAACATCTAACAGTGCAATTTAAAATTGCAAAATTAAGAAAATTAAACAAATTGACAATTACTGTACCGTATACAGTATCTATTGTAGTAACTATACATATCGACATGGAGATATTAATAAAACAGGAGCAGATCCAGGAAGGGGGTCCTAGGGGTCTAGACCCCCTTTTCATCAGAAAATTCCAATACTTTTAGTTTAATGCAGTATTGTACCCATATATTAGTCAGATTTAAAAAAATTCTGGGGGAGAAAAGAGGGGGGGGACCAGAGGTGGAAGAGGAGAAGGGATAGGGGATAGGATATGATACTTGCTGGTGGTGTGTGCAGTTCATGTGTATTGCCTCAGTACAATAAGGATAGATGAAATTAATGTAGCACTGTACAGTATAGGTATACTGTAGTAAATGATGAAATTGATCTTAACTGTGTGTGTTATGAGTCTAATTATATAGGATGACAGTATAACACATTTACCAGATAGGCAAGTGTCTGGCTACTGCTTCGCTACTACATGTCTCACATTCAGAGATTTGAACTTGTGGTCGGGTGTCTTACGCTGAACATTCCCCGACTGTACACGATCTTGAGTCATGGATTCATCAGCATGTTGATAATGCTCCTTAACAACAGTCATTATATGGTATTAAACAAGCATTCAGTAATTTTCTATAAAATTTTTAGCATTTAAGCAAAATTTTATTTGTTAATATATTGTGATCAAAATAAGTAATAGATTAACAATATTTATAAATTTCTTCAGATTTTGATAGAGCTTATGGTCGCACTGAATTCTCATCACCCCGAGCTTCTGCATTCCGAAAGAAGACTGTAAGTTTCAGCAGCACCACTACCTCAGGCAGTTACAAGACAGCCCCTGAGTATGACACTGACAGCAGCAAGGCCAATGACACTGACTACTTCTCCCCTGATGAGGATGATGATGAGTTCTTTGACTTGTCACCAGAGGAAGAGTTAGTATCATTTAGTGAACCTAATACCCTTTTTTACACTAACATCTTACTACAGGTAATGATGGTCAGACTAAAATTACAGTAGAAATTTTACTTTTCACATACAGGGGCCCCCAAATTCGCAGGGGTTAGGTTCTCAAAATGGCCGCAAATCACCAAATCTGTGAATAACATAAGTTAATGATCAGCTGCGTGAGAGGGAGATTATGATGCACATGCTTTTCAATAAATAACTCATTACCACAGCTTACATCATTGTTTTATGTATGCCTAATTGTTACATACTGATTATTTTAATGTCATAATACTATACATATATGTAGTTATAAAAATAAATGTAGTTAAAGATGGTGAGAGCTGATGGGGGTGGTCGGTGGTAAATTGAAGAATGGCCATGAGATGAAGATCATGCATAAACCTTTTTAATTTTATTTCGTATATACTGTACAGGGTATTTGCATTTATTTTATGGTCTTTATCAATTTTTACTGTTTCAGTATGAAAACAAAAATATTTTGGGTGTCATGCCCACTAGAATTACTTAAAATTGGTTCAGAACAATAGATCAGGTATTGTTATGTGTACAAGTGAACATCTGAGACCGAGTATGCTTGAGGATGTACTGGTGCTGTATTTTGATTTTGTGTATACAAAGGAGTAAACATGGAAACTGTCTGTTAGCCTCTTTTGTACAGGGCATTTCTCTGTGCTGAATAAAGTTGTTTAGTGTTAACCATATACATAGAATATTAAAAGTGGCACCCCATAGTGAAGGGGTTAATGAATAGGGTGGCACAAATTAGTCCAGTGTAAGAAGGGTTTACTGTTAAATTATTTATTCTTACAAATTTATATTTTCCAGGGAAGGGGTAAATTCTTATGGAGAAAATGGTAAGATTGAAAGTGGACAGCTATCATCTTTATTAGATGAGGAAGATCATTTATACCAACTCTTCAAGCAGGTAGATCAAGTGATTGATGGCACCGGGGATGAACAAACACAAGCTTACAATTTGTTGAAAAATGAAGAAAATGAAGTAAGCACCCAAGACTCTTGTTATGCTTGCCAAGACATTTATTTTTGGACTACTGTACTTAAAGCTAAGCACAAAAGTTCTACCCAACTTCTGAAGTACCTGTAGTAGTTAACTGTCATTCAAGTTAGTATTAATGTCAGAGAAGTAAAAACCAATTTTTCATCCCATTATTAATCATTCTGTAGACTCCAGTACTTTTCCATAACACTGAACATCACTACTAAATGTCAAACTCTCATCTAATTTTTAAAAGCTTGCTGATTTCTATTACTTCATGTGTGAGGTGGATCAAAGGGTCTGGAAATCTGAGAGAAGGGGTAAATAATTAGGGAAAGTTGTGTAAGATCAGTGTAGAAATTGATAGGGAGGGTCTAACGGCCTGCTCACACTGAGGCTTGAAGCAGACATATTCTGATGCAAGTTGTCCGAAGACATAAGATATGTGACGCCACGGGAGGTATTATGATTTTCTCAGCTTAGCTGTTACCTGTTACATGACTCACTGTCTTTCTAGGGAGAGGGAACTGTCTTCCCTCTAGGATAAAATTTGAAATACTCAAATTAGATGTAATTTGAATATGTAGTGTAAGATATGTGTTGTCAACTTGACTCACTCGTTCGGACAATTTGAGTTAGAATACTGTATGTCTGTTCCGGCCTCAGTGAGAGTGAGCCCAAAGACAACAAGAAGGAATATACAGACATAGTACTGTATATGCTCAAACCCCAACTTTACTTTCACCTCTGCTTTGGAAGTACTGTACTGTATGCTGTGCATCTTAAGTTATACATGGAGCTAATTTACATATTCCAGTACTTTAAAACTTTATGATATGATATAAATCCTTCTATCTTCCTTATGATATGATATAAATCTTTCTATCTTCTTTATGATATTATATAAATCCTTCTATCTTCTTTATGATATTATATAAATCCTTCTATCTTCCTTATGATATTATATAAATCCTTCTATCTTCTTTATGATATTATATAAATCCTTCTATCTTCTTTATGATATTATATAAATCCTTCTATCTTCCTTATGATATTATATAAATCCTTCTATCTTCTTTATGATATTATATAAATCCTTCTATCTTCTTTATGATATTATATAAATCCTTCTATCTTCCTGGGCTGTATATTTAAATGAGATACCAGTACAGACTTTAGTGATTTGGGGATTTTTTTTTTTTTTTTACACTGACTGGGGAGATACCTAAGACAGTGTAGTACTACATATGGCAGTGTTTCTGTTAGTGATCTTTATTCAAGCTAAGTTTGCTTGGTACATTATGAATAAAAGAGATGGAAGTACCCTGTAAGACAGTACAGTATTTAATGATGTGTTGCAGTATGCAGACAATCCAGAGTTCCTGTGGAGGGTAGCAAAAGCAACAAGAAATATGGCTGCTATCCAAGAAAAACTTGGGAATGAAAAGGACAAGGAAACTTTGATATGTGATGGTAATGTTACAATATTAAAGTTTTCATTCTTCATTCATATCATTCAATATTTAGTTTGAGTTGTGTTTCTACAATACAAACTGAATTATTCATACATCAACTAACGACAAAATTCTACCCTCCATATTTTATTGTGTTAATGAAGGTTCTATATCTGTATAATTTTTTAACGAAGTGCAAGCAAAAGGTCAGTACCTGTGCATACATATACAGTACGTACTTAAAAAAAACCTGGAGTAAGTTAGCAGAATAATTTTGAGAACATTTAAATTATCTTAATAAAAGATGTGATACTGTATTTTGACGAATACAGTAATCTCCTTGTTAGCCGGAATAATTGGTGCAGAGCGGTTCTGGATTTGAGAGCTTTCTGGGTAATGAAATAAATTTTCTTATCCCCCCAAAAAATCACACATCTCTGGAGGTTTAGCTGCAGTTAGACAGAGAGCTGCAGTTATTTAAGCAAATACTATACAGTGCTACTCTATACGTACAATTTTTTGTAAATAAACAAAATTAACTACTGTGCTGTATACACTGCACTGTACTCGCCAGCAGACGCTGTCATCTTGAGCTTGTGATGCAGGCGGGCCATGTGACAGTTTGTTGATATAGGATGGCTGCTTTGTCCTGCACCATTTACTGCGACAGCTGGTGCTAATTGTCACTCTCCTCTCTTCCCACGAAGGAGAGATTGTACAAACTGCGTATACTATATATACACCCTCTCCACACTAGCTTACAGTAGGCATACACTGTCCACTCTGGTATGTACAGTACTGTACATACAGTACTTTCACATTTACTGATTGTACAGTACAGTAATCACTTTTTACATCTTAACACTGCTTTAATGGTATTCTTGGCTGATTGTATCCTGGAACAGTAATGTACAACACAGATTTATGCAAAAACAGAAGTGAGCGAGCGAACAAGCTTGTACAACGGCAGCAAACAATGAACTATGAGTGTCATGATGCTAAAGTTTGAGAGATAAGCTGTGAGATACATCAGCCAATCATAGGCATCCTCTGTAGTCACATGACAGTAGTAGCCAATCATAGTTCACAAGCACTCAGAGTCAGCACATGATGGAATCTCTCAGAAATTTTTTTGAATGCCCGGAATGGAGAAATTTTTCTTGGAATTTCTCGGAATGCTAAAAAAAAATCCGGTTTATGGAAACTTCCAGGGATTGAAGATTCCAGCTAACGGGGCGATTACTAAACCACCCCCAATTCTAAGCCACAGGGTGAGTTTTGGACAGAATGCATGGAAAAAAAGCTTGGGCTTCAATTCTAAGCTGCACCCTGAAGTTGAAGGGGGAATGAAAATCATATTCACATTCAAAAATGTTCAAAACACAAGAGATAAAGATACAGTACATACATATATGGTATTCAATACTTGTGTATATACAGTATGCACATATTAGAATACTTGAATGGGGTAACAAAATTGTGGTGAAAAGTACACAATTATCTAACAAAAAGAGTAGATGTGGCAACAGCGCCAGTAAGTGAAAGGTTTTAAACATCCCAGGATTTGCCGGTTCACATAAATAAGGATAGCTATGTGTGAAAATTAACATAACCTGCATAGTTTTATTGAAAAAATACTTTAATGGGAATGTATTTTCGGAGCATATCGACCCCCACCTGCACAGATACGGTAGTTTTTTTAGCTACTGTACATATACATCACTTCCCACACATGCTCTTCATTTTTCTTATTTCATAGTTTTTATATTATATTTTCTTTACACTCCCCATCACTTAATGCAGGGGATGCGTTCCCAGAAAATGCCATGCAGAGTGAATCTATGTAGAGCGAACCCATTATAACATGGGGAGATAGGGGATACGTCAGGTAGACCCAAAAAGTCCCCCAACATCGAAAACACTCTAAAACCAAAGTTCAAAGACATTGTACAGCTCTAAATAACTCACTAATTCTGTGCACATGTATCTACCAAATTCACTTAAACATGATGTTGTGGAGGTACTGGCACGTCCATGAAATCAGTTCCCAAAAGTTAAACACTGCAGCCATTTGCAGAGGTGAGCTGAGTCATGTGTGACCTCCTTCAAGCCTCACCATAGCAACCCAGCCTAGCTGGGAACTTTCTCCCTCCCATTGGTACACAAAGAAATGTTTATTCATTTTATATTTTTGACTTAATGATATTTTTTTTCTTCATATTCTGTATGTCGGATTGTGTGAGCATGTAACTGAATAAAAAAGTTGTGAAGACAGTTAAGTTTATCTACCAGAAAGGCCTGACTAAGGTAACCTCTCACTGGACCTTTGAAGAAGATGCAAGCTATGGTTGTAATATTGTCATACATAATGAATATATATAGTGCTCTAACAGTGATTCCATCCCCTCCTGGTGCTCTAACAGTGATTCCATCCCCCCCCTGGTGCTCTAACAGTGATTCCATCCCCCCTGGTGCTCTAACAGTGATTCCATTCCCTCCTGGTGCTCTAACATTTATTTCATACCCAACCCACCTGGTGCTGTAACAGTGATTCCATCATCTCCTGGTGCTCTAACTGTGATTTCCTCTCCACCTGGTGGTGATTCCATCTCCTGGTGCTCTAACAATGATTCGATCCCCTCTTGGTGCTCTAACAGTGATTCCGTCCCCCCTGGTGCTCTAACAGTGATTCCATCCCCTCCTGGTGCACTAACAGTGATTCCATCCCCTCCTGGTGCTCTAACAGTGATTCGATTCCCTCCTGGTGCTCTAACAGTGATTCAATTCCCTCTTGGTGCTCTAACAGTGATTCCATCCCCCCTGGTGCTCTAACAGTGATTCCATCCCCTTCTGGTGCTCTAACAGTGATTCGATTCCCTCTTGGTGCTCTAACAGTGATTTCATCCCCTCCTTATTACTTTTTTCTTTATTTATTGGATGCTCTTCAATCTACCACATCTTAAACAACATAATTCTGCCTCTCTTTTATGTTACTTGTAGCAGTTTATAAGTATATATTTGTAGTTTATTTCTAAGCACTCTATTGCAGTATATTTTTACTTTGTATTTTGTCACCAGCTTTTGGATATGCTGCAAAAGCACTTGATTTAGATAAAGAAAATGCGGAGATTCACAAGTGGTACGCAATCCTCGCTGGTGCTCGTGGAGAATTTTTGGGCATAAGAGAACGTGTTAAAAGTGGGACCATCTTCAAAAAACATATTGATCGTGCTCTACAACTTAAAGCTAAAGACTCAACTTTACACCATCTTCTTGGTCGATTTTGTTATGAGGTAGGTGTGCAGTGTTGTTGTTTTATACAGCGATTTCAGTATTTTTATGTATGGGTAGTAAGATGGGTGAAAGCAAGAGCCATGAACAGGGGAGCTGCTTTGATTAATAAGGATATGGGTGCAATGAGGAGGGAGTTGGCTGCTGTCCACAAATGAAACTACTTCAGTATGTGATTTAGAAGCAAACATTGTTAGTGAATAAGTTAGGAAGGGTAAGTTGTAAGAGAAACTTGATGGTAAATGTGATCATAAGCAGAGTGATACATATAGAAGGGAGATAAGGAAAAATGATTGCTAGGTTGAATAAAGACATAGAGAAAGTGAGGTATTTCAGGTATCTGGGAGTGCATGTGAATGGGATAATGTGTGGAGAAGTGAGTAGTGAGTAACTGAAGGAAAAAAAGAATGAAAGGCAAGATATTGGTGAATTAGGAATAGTTGATCTGTCAGTACTGTACTGTACATGATGCGAAGTGTGGGCTCTGGATGCAAGAGAAGTACATTAGAAACTACTACATATTGCATTTCCCACCTACTGAAAAAAAATCAAAATTTTTTGATAGCTTAACTACCACCAGAAGGCTGTGGGGCACTTGAGTTGAGAGCCATAATGATACTGAACACAGAGAACTAATATGCAGTTGGTAAAAACACAGCATAGAAGCTATAACACTTGGAACCTTAAGTCTTAGAATATTGTAAGATACATGGCAGCTGATGCTCCTACTGGGCAGCACCTCAATCTGTCCAAAATAGCTGGCAAAAGACTATACCCCAGTTTTTCAATGCATGTTCACAAGAATTCATGAAACATTTACAAAACCTGTGTATTTATTTAAAATTAGAGTACTGTGAACATAAAATTACTGTACTGGGCATGAATCATTAACATGCGAGTCACACATTTGTCGGGAATCATTACTAATTATTTTTGACAGCTTGCAGTCACTTTAGATGCTATATGTTTCCGATTAATTTAATTTCTATCATCTCCCAAGTATTGTCTTGTTTTTAATTACAAGACCATTGTGAATATTAGCCTCCATTATGAGTGACGAATTAATCCTAAATTTTTTTTGGAATGGAGACATATAATTGGTCTAGATTCCCATTCTCCCATGGGTTTGGAAATGGAAGCTGCAAGACTGAAGTCAATGTGATGAATCATGAAGGGGTGAGGGACTGTTCTGGTGTAGAGGCAAATTATTTTTCAGGGAAAACCATCAAATTCTTATGATCTTTCTCTCTTAAATAGCAGCATCCATATACTGTAGTTTAGAAACCCATTTCTTTAAGTATTGCGGGATACAGATATGAGTTGGAAAAATATTTAGTTGTACTTGAGCTGCTATTATCATTCATACTGTGGTGAACCTCATAACATTAGTCGTGAATAATGTACATTACAATTCTTACATCTCCATTCATATAATGGGATTTCAGAATCAGTTTCTCATTTTTCATTAGTACTGTGCACATGAAAGTACATTGATACGGATGCCTTCAATCAATATATTATTCATAAATTTGTCTCCTTATAGTGTCATGCTTTAGTACTGTTTTCACTGTTTTCTCAATTCTGTTTTAATTCGTAGGTGTCACAACTATCATGGTTAGAAAAACGAGCAGCAACTGCACTGTTTGGTGAAGTACCATCATCAACCTACGAAGAAGCCCTCCATCACTTTACAGCAGCTGAAATGCTCAGACCATCGGGTTGGAAAGAAAATCGCCTTTTTGTGGCTAAGTGCCACATCCAGTTGAACAATTACTCAACTGCTGCTTCATGGTTAGAACGAGCAGCTGTGGCCCCTATTATAACACCTGATGTAAGTTAAAATTTTTATCTGCTTGTTAAACTTTGGTTAAGTTTTGTTCTTAGTCTGTCTGTCAGTGACAGTATGGATATACACTCAGACCCCTCTTATATGCCCTTCACTAATTCCGACTTCATGGTAATTCTGACAGTTTTGATGGTGTTAAATTACAGTATGGAACTCAGCAATTTTTCAACATTGAGACCCAAATATACAAATAACAAAAAAAGTAATTACTGTAATATGATATTCGGTTACTAAATGTAGTAGGATAAGTATGGCACATAGCCACACATACCAACCCTCCTGGGACATCACTAGTTGCAGATACTTTTTTGAGATACAGTACTGTACTGTATTGTACTGTACATAGAGTAATTTTAATTATGAGAACATAGTGGTTTTTGAGTTTAGCTAGATAGATTTATTGAGTTAAATTATCATAAAATTTTCACATTAGTTCATCATGTTTTGTTTAATACTAAATGTACTAGAAGGAGTATGTATTATCAAAGAACATGACAGAGAGAGATTTGTTAAGTAAATTATACAGTATACAATAATCTTTCGTAACTCATCATCTATTAAATCATCATACAATATGCAATAGTACACTACAAGATAAAAGTGAGTAGCCTAGATCCACATACGACAATGGGCAGTGAGACACTGAGTGCGGTAGCCTTGTAGACTCACTTCCACCCCCCACCTGCTAATTCCTGTGCGCATGGCGACGGGAAATTTAAAAATTAATTATCTTCCAAATGCGGTTAAATAGTAATATTGGTTTCAATTATTAAAGCACGGTGAAGCCCTGGTTCGGATAAATAATGGGCTGAAAAATGATCGTCTATTGTACTAAACTTTACATTCTGTAAGTGTGAGTATCCTATGTACAAAGCAGACTGGACAGTGTTTGCATCCTGTATCCTGGTGTATAAAGTTTGTGTGTACTGTACATTATACTGCGTTGTATAATGCTGCAAGCTACACAAAAAAAAGTGGCACCAAGAGGTTGAGGAGGTGGCACAGTGAAAAGACAGTATATAAAAAAAAAATTAGACATTCTTAACAAACTGAAAAAAATTGAGCCTGTTTAAGTGTTAATGGTGGTGTATGGAGTATGCAGGTCAACATGTCGACCATTTATGAAGTGAAATATGCTCAAGGAAAGCTGAGGAGGCAAGAACAAAAAGTTAGTCTCACCCATACTCATATGGATAGCTTAAAATAGGAGAAAGTTGATGCTGCGGTGTATGACTGGTACAAGCAGCAATGAGCCAGAGGTGTTCTTGTTTGCGGCATTGAAATCCATGATGATGTACAGCAGTTTGCAACCCTGCTGAAAATGCCTGACTTCTGTGGGAGCTTTAAGTGCCTCTATAAATTTGACAGACGCCACGGGATAACCAACAAGCGAGTGGCTGGCGAGAGTGCTGATGTGGTGAGCGTCCAGCCATTCAAAGAAGAACTGAAGCAACTCATCCGTGACAATAACATACTAAAGTATGAAATGTACAATGTGAATGATACAGACCTCTATTGGAGGTCCTTGCCTAATACAGTAATACCGTTGCATCCCAGTGGAAGAACAGCACCCCTGGACTCGAGGCCAGCAAGCAGCATGAGTTAGTGATGTTGTGTGACAATGCTGCTGGCAACCCACAAAATCAAACCCATGGTGTTGGGAAATGCCAAGGGGCATGGTAACAAAAAAGCCAGGTTCACCTGGGAAATAATTGAAGGCTAGTTCTACCATGTTTATGTCCATGCAGTCAGACAATTTCAGGTGACAATCCATGGCATCCCCAGACAAGAGGTTAAGGCCTTAGTCATACTTAACAATGCACCTGCCCCCACCCCCCCCCCCATCAATATGACTTAAATAATGCTGATGGGCACATCAGGAGTGAAATTTTTGCTGCCCAACACCACCTCTCATCATTCTGGCCTGCAAACATCACTACAGGTGCCTCCTCTTGAATGATGTTTTGGTGGTGGAACCAGTGCCAGAAGGGGATAAAGACATTCTGAGGCCCAAAACCCTGAAGAACATCAAGGACTACAACATCCAGGATGTAGTGTTCAACCTCAAGGCAGCCTGGGAAAAGATCACCGAGACATTACCACATTGAGGAATTGGAAGCTCCTGAATGGTGGTGCTACTGCAGAAGCTGTGTTACAGGAGGATGCAGACTTTGAGGACTTCGAAGTGGAAGAGGCCCACACACTTTTGTGTGACATTGGTGGCACTGCTGTGACCAAGGAGGATTTAGGCGAGTGGCTGTGCATGTGGATGCCGATGATCCTGGCTGTGGTGCCCTCACCCAGAAGGACATAGCAGAGAAGAAGTTTCCACTACCAGTCTCAGAGAAGAAAGGGCACACCTGGACACCCACCTGAATTCTACAGCCACCGATGATATCCTCCACTTCCTCCCCTTTTACCAGAATCTTCGATAAATGAGAGCAATTGCTATTGATGAGATGCAGAAGATGACCAAGATTAAGCAGCAAAACATTGGGTACTACTTCCCCAAGGTCCCTGCTCCAGTCCCCAGGTGTCCTAGTGCTGTCTCCTAGGGCAGATTGCTTAGTACTAGTTGTTGACAGTGTTTCTGACTCCAGCCCACAGCCTTCAACGTCAAAGATTGCACACCTACCACCGTTACCATTACCACCACCACCACCACATGTGTCATCATCATCCTGTCCATCACCACGATCCAGCACTTGTCAGTGATGGAAATCCTTTGTGTCACTCTTGAGGTGCCTCTCTCCTTCATGGTGGGAGAGGACTGACAGTTATCACCAGCTGCCACAGTAGATGGTACAGGTCAAAGCAGGCCATCCTGCATCATCATATCACTATTTGGCATGCCTGCATCACAAGCTTAAGATGACAGCATCTGCTGGTGAGTACACTATAGTGTATACAGATCGGGTCACAGAGTATGCTTATTCATAGCACACAACCCCACTTATACATGTCTGATCCCCTGAACTGCCCTTACGCCTAGGTCTCGTGCAAGCCAACCCACCCAGCATCTCTCGTTAGCTCAGCATGTTTATCACTTGTCTATGCTCGTTTGAGAAGAAAGATAAAAATAAAATCACCACAATACTCTGATGTGGCTTAGAAATAAAGAAAATATAATAATACAATATAAAACTATAAAATAAGAAAAATGAAGAGCATGGGTGTGTATGTGTGGGAAGTGAATATATGCATTGAGGCAATGAGCTGTAACTGTGTCACCAGCTCGCTAGGTAGTACCCAGCCACATATGTCCTATTCTGTGTGACATCATGATATATACACAGCACAGCAGCAGCCACATATCTCTCTGAGTCAGCTGAGTGACTGCCTGGATGAACTGTGTCCTGTTTCCCAGAGGATGGTATGGGCATTTGTTTGTACATTTAAAGTGTTCATATGGTACCGTATGTTTAATATTTGTATTCATTTGTACATTTAAGGGGTTTATATGGTACCATAGGTTTAATTTTAATTTTACCTATGGTAATTTCAGTTTATGCAAACTTTTTTTTATGTAACCCGGGCATGCTTGAGAAGCTCCTTATTTCTTCCTACGTATTTCCTGTTAAACTAGAGATGTGTCTAATATGGCAGGAAAAATGGTAGATACCTATCATGTGAATGTTCATTAACCTGCCATCCTATTTTTCCATATCATTTATGATTGCAGTTAATTATTAATATTTTACCAATTTCTTTCAGGATGAAATTGTTCAGAAAGAAGTTTTGGAACTTCAAGATAAGTACTCATGAATATATCTTTTCAAAGAGTGGAGTAAAAATAATGGACTGCTTACTTAGTTATTTATCTAAACTTCATATTGTGATTGGTAGGAATTAAAGTTATGATGTTTATAGAAGTACAGTATGTAATTATAAAATACTTGTTGACTTGTTCTACAGTTTTAGATTCTATATCTTTCCAGTTCTTACAAACAATTACACAAATTGAGTATTAGAAAATCAGACTACGTACAGTACATGTGCCACACTGCTGGATTGTTGGAAACTGTATAATATAGGATATAGATAGAGAGCTAGAAAATTGGATTAGTTGTTGTGTACAAATCTTTGTATTAGATCAATCATGTGATATTCTTAGGAATTATGAAACTTGAATTGTATTACAGAACTTTAAGAAAATTGTACAGGTTCATTCTAGTTTGTCAGTACTGTACAGTAGTTAAAGGATCATTCATGTTATGATACAGTAATTAGCTGCTGACATTAAGGAGTTCGTTCATGTCCAGAAGTTGACCATATCTTATGATCTGATCTTTTCTCTCCTGGTGCTTTATTAATGAGATTAACTTATATTTACTGTATAATCCATTTTTTTTTTATCCAACATAGTGTTGTGATGGAAAGGGCATAAATATATTTGATTTCTGTTACAGATAGGTTATATAAGCTGGGGCTGACAAACAAATAGAAAACTCCCTTTTAGTAAAAACTTATCAGGTAGCAATCAGATATGGGAATTTATTGACTAGATGATAAGTTATGAATTTTGCATTGTTGAATACTGTACAATGCAGTACTGTATATCATTTCAAATATTCAGATGCCCTGTACTACTTTAGTAAAACTACATACTGTATAGTAGTTCTCTTCTCTCAAAACTTTGGTCTCACAAGTTGTGAATATTTGTACATTTGTGGCCAACATTCCCATAACACTTGGCAGTATCAGGCCTGTAGTTGTGGGTCATACATACGATTGATTTTTTCCTGTTGAAATTTGCCTTTAATTATAAATTAGGTTAGATGAGCCATAAATAAATTAACATGTTAAAATCCTAATCTCCCTGTCTACATATGCTTTCCATGGATGCCTTTGTTAAAAGTGTACAAGGAATTTGGCCCATAACACTTGCACCTGGAAAGTTTTGTATGCAAACCAGACAATAATTTAACCTGATAACAATGTAGTGAGTTTGTTAAAGCTAAATAGTTTTGGAGGAAACAATAACTTTCTATGTGAAAATAAGAGACATTGGAGTAGCATGTTCTTTACTCTGTGACTCATACTTGAACATAAATACTGTGCTGTAGTAATTACCAGACTTAGAAGTTCATGAAAACGGTGTGACATCTTAAAAGGAAGGGACAATGATGGCCACAGTAATTGCTGTGAAATTCCAAGTCTGAAGCTAGTAGATTGATACCAGCCACTCTGTGAACAAGTTCTGGGCAGATCCCTATCTTTAGTTGTTTACATGCCACTACACATATTGGGAAATAGCATGCTTTTTTATCAAACTTCTTGAATGTTGTTTTGCATTAGAGCAGCAAACCTAACTTTTTTTATGTAAACTATATTGAATATTTTGTTGCAGCATGTTTTACTCACATTATGAGGACTTTTCTTGAAAGAAGAAGCACACAGGTACTTGAAGAACATAATTTGACTGAAATGGGTGTGAGAGTAAGTGAATTGGTTAGGAATGAATTTCAACAATAAATATTTAAATTACTGAGAACTGTATTTCAGTAATGCGTACAATTTGTGAGTAATCTACAGATATATTTCAAAAGTAAATGCTGGTGCTACAACTGGCTTAAATGCATATGCTGAAAGAGGTACAATTTACTTATCTCTATAACCATCATAATTATAAAGCACATTGTACAGGTCGCTCTCATTTGTACCGGTGATTGTGTTTACATAAAAGGCCAGTACAGTATACAGTATAATCAAAATCAGTAGTGTACATGTTCAATGTACACTGCCCCATGCCATACCATGAACAAAATATGTACAATATCTTGTAATAAAAAGATTATTAATGCCAGCTTCCTAGCTGTAATATCACCTGGAAAAAAAAATGGAGAAACCACTGAGTACTGTACCCCCTTTACCGAATTCCTTCCTCGAGCCATGTACTTTATTTAGCACCTGGAATCAGAATGGGGGAAGGATGGGCTATGTACATTACTGTAAATGAAGTCAGGTTTCCATAGTAAAGGAGGGATTACATTACCAACCACAGCTAGATTGTCCCTTATGACAATAATGTACAGCAAGTTTTCATGCCTACACCAATATTTATTCAGTAACTGAATAAGATAATTTTGTTCAATGAACATTATAATTGGGTATACTCTATTCATCAGTACATTCTTTTTCAATCTGTAAGAAGAGGTTGACATTAAGCAAGGGTAGATAAGTACTGAACATGGCTCATCAGTACTTAAAGCAACTGAAATAATATCCTCCTTAATTAATACATCTTAAATGTGGTATTAGGCAGCATAAACAGACTAAAATAATGCTGCAGGTATTTTAGGTACACAGTGAAATCTTGAGATTTATTGAGAACTAAGCAGTTGTGCTCCACCTCCAACAAAAACAAATTTCAAATGACTGCTGCAGTCTTTTTAATTGGTGTGCCAGTGATCAGGTACGGTACAGAGGTTAAGCCCCTTTACAACCAGGGGATTTTGGGAATGGTACTGTACATGAGAAATTAATTGTACTCTGTTAGTGTCCTTGCAACTTATGGCATGGATGATATTTTCCCATGATGCAAAACATGTAGTAGGCAGCTATCAAACAGGGAGGTACTACTGCCTGGGAAGATATTGGAAGCATAATGTGTTGTCTAATGGTAGACCCTGCTGCCATATGGCATCACGAAATTTGTGACCAAGTCCTAGGTTGCTGATCTGACTTTCTGCCTCAATTACACACAATTGCAGGGTCTCAATCGTTTCTCTTACTATTGACAACACAATATACATACTGTATATAGTTTCCCATTCTTGATTTATTTTTTTATGGTTATTATTAATTATTATTATTATTACTTTATTATAATATTTTTGCCCCCCAGGCCGCCGTGATGTAGGTCAGTGACCTGTGCCCGGGTGGGCTAATCCCCGTAAAAAAAAAAAATGTGATACACACCTGGATATGTGCAAACCTTTAGCTCAGTATAAATGAAAATTGGGTGAAAAAAAAGTAAAATGTGTATACTATTTCAAACAGTTTCTCATGAATCTTGTATAAGGAGAAACCTGTGTTGCCGAGATACTTACTGCTTATCATTAGTCCTTAATCTGTGGCTATAAATGGAAGTTTCATGTTCCTTGTACCCCAACTTTGCACTGGAGGGGGGGGTGCAGAATCCTCAGTCACAAATTAAGGGTTAAGGGCATTTTTCAGATACAATTATACTTTCTTGATCAATCATTTAGTTGCATAAAACAGTCATTTGCTCATAACACCATTGTATATTACTTTGTGAGAAGTTGAATAAGATTGTCTATTAGAGGTTAAAACTGTAAAATATTTGAGATTTATTGAAAAGCACACAATTTTTTTATTGGTGAGCAATGTTAGTTACTGAAGTACACTTGTGCTTTGTAATGAATTACCTGAGATTCAAACAGCTTGTAAAACAAGTATCAGTGGGAACAAAGAGAGGTATTGAAATTTCATTCAAAATTGTATGTGACAGCAAAGCTGCATGGTTGGGTTATTACATTAAATAGAACTTTTATAACCTATTGGACTTCCTGAAAGACTTACAGTATATTATGCAGCCAGCTAAATGTACAGGTTTAGAACTAATTTACCTCCCTGAGATAATAATTCACTTTTACTTTACTTTTATCCTCTTCGCCACTGATCGGCTTGTTAGCTGCCCGGGCGATCGGTCACGTCTCTGTCATGCACTGTTGGCAAATACTGGGCATGCACCGGCTCCTGAATGTACCTGAACCTGCTCCAGTGTTGGTCAAGTCTTGTCTTGAAAGAGCTCACACTCGGTGCCATCACAACACTCTCTGGTAGATTGTTTCAAGAGTTTATAACCCTCACTCCAAAAAAGTTTGCCTTCACGGTTTTCTGGACTTGCGGCTTCTTCAATCTTGAGCTGTGACCCCTTGTGGGGCGAGCGTCCGCCAGCTCCAAGTAAGGACACTCGCCTGAGTAGTGCCCCCTGAGATGCTTATACACCTCAACTAGGTCCCCCCTTGCCCGTCTGTAGTATAAGCTAGGCAAGTTCAGGCGCTCCAATCTCTCAGGGTAGCTGAGGTGCCGAACTGCAGGCACCAGTCTGGTGGCCCTCCTTTGAACATTTTCAACCAACTGACAGTCCCTAGCATATCTCGGGGACCAGATGGGGTGACAGTACTCCAGATTCAGACTAATTAAATGATTAACTCCTGCTCCCCCCACAGCCAGAGCCTTGAAATATTTTCTCAGGAGTCGAAATCCCCTTTTAAAGTTTTAGGTGAACAAATTCGTGCTGTCACATCAACAATGAACATCATTCTAATCCCTTGTTCTTTTACAGTATAACCTGGGAGTATAGCAATGATAATCTTCCCTCCCAACTGCTCACTTTCTTAGTACAGTACAGTAGATAGTTTTTTTTAAAGCCTTTTAACCCTTATAAAGGTTTCCAGCTGGACCACACAGTCATAGCAAGTTCTAAGGGTAAAGCAATTGTTCAAGAAGGGAATGCACAGCCATATAACTTCATTGTATTAATGGTGTGTGGAGCTAATGGTGAATATTACTTCTTAGGAAGTAATTCAGCATGTCTTGTCAAAGAGGTTTTTTTAGCCACTTTGGGATATCTGACCCACTCATATACAACCATTTTTTCAGTGTCTAAAATCGAAGTTAGGGTTTACTTTTTGGACTAACAAATGATCACAGTTCAGGACACAAGCTGGCACAAAAAAAATCTTTTATAAGTTATTATGCATTCTTTTCTTTTTAACAATAGAAAAGTGGAAAATCTTTGGGTGGATCTTTTCATCTGTGAGATTGTTTTGGGTCACATTATATAATTAAAGTAGGGTAGGTCTTCAGATTAATTTCCCATCAGACTGAATTTCACCCCATACACTGTGCTTACTGAAAATTAGTCCCTTAACTGAAGATAGGCCCCAGGTCCTATGAACACAGTCACACCCAGGGGAATAAAGTGCTCTTTGAAATAAGTTGTCTATGAAGTCTCTTGTAACACAAGTAGTGTTTTATTAGTAACTGATACAGTTGTATACTATAATCTATTCAGACAATAATACAAGTCAGGAAGGAAGAGTGTTTGGTTACATGTGGATGACCGATTCAGAAATCTCTTTATATAACAGAGGCTGAACGGACTCAGTTACCCTCCCTCCTCCCGAGGGTAATTTGTGAGACTGTTGTAACTGTTTTCCCTAATTACATCTGAACAAAGGACTGGAGTGACACTGCTGATGTGTCAGTATAAATTTGTTTATCATCTGCTTAAAATGATATTTCTAATTCTGAGAAAACCTGATGGGAATTTGGTTGTATCAGGGCTTTGGTTTTAAGGGGAAGGTGAAACTCATCATTTGATTATTCCCAACTGCTGCTTTCAAAGGGTTAAATAGGTTCTAACTGTAAGCATTGTTGGTGCTGGTTGCATAACCGTGGATATAAGAAGGATTTTAAAAACAATCTTCCATTTGCTGACTTCGTTCATAAATTATTTCTTTGGATGATATTACCTTGATGGTGACTATTTCTGTAAGTGTTTGTATGAGTTAGACAAGGCCTATGGATGTGAAGACTCCTCAGTGTAAAGTTTGACAAAACTTTTGTATTAAATAGAAATGCTGAATAGGAGGTTGGTTAATAATTTATTTAAAAGCAAACATAATGATGCTATAGAAGTAAAATAATGATTTTGATAATAGGTACAGTAAGTACTCGCTTAACGTCAAGGTTATGTTCCTGAAAACGCGACATTATACGAAACAACGTTAAGCGAATCAATTTTCCCCATAAGAAATAGATAAAATATGGGAGTTACGTTCCTGATCCTCTCTTTATCCAATGAAATATATTACATATACAGTGGGGTATGCTATAATGAATCTAATTGGTTCTAGAACCTTGTTCGTTATAGCATTCGTTCGTTATAGGATTAATCCGTTCCAGGCCCCCAAATACAACCACTTAACACTGAAAAATATAATATAAAATTGTAAAAAAGTGCATAAATATGCATCTAAACCCCTGAAATAAAGAATATCATTAATACTTGTAATAAAAAACAATAAATTAGTAAAAAAAATATATATATTTTTTTTAAATAATGTTCGTTATAGGAGTTTCGTTCGTTATAGCATTCTCAATTTTATAGGTAAAACCGTTCGTTATAGGAATATTCGTAGTAGGATCCGTTCGTTATAGCATACCCCACTGTACAGGGTACAGAAATTCAATGGGATTTTTATAGAAAATAGTAACTATGCAGTATATATAAAACTAAATCATTTTGTGTTGGTACTCACTAATGGGGGGAGGTGGTGGAGCTAGTGTGTGGTGGGTAGTGGAGCGGAGGAGGAGGGTGGAGAGTCACTGAGACAAAGCGGGTGCCTCCTCCTCCCGCTCTGACTGGCGTTTCTCTTCCATTTTTGTAGCAAGGCTTGTGGTCTTACGTTGCTTCTTCACAACACTAGCATCAGTAGCACTTGATGGGGGCTTGGAAGCCATTTCGAATGGTTAGAGTACAGTATTTATAGCAAAAACACTTAAGCACACACAAATGATGTGGAAGCCTAACAGAGACAGGCTTGGTGTCCTCTTGTGGATGCTGTGACGTTCTGCGAGTTAGAGGTAGCGAGCCGAGAGAGGGTGATGTGCTGTAAAAAGTAGTCCGTGAAGACGCAAAAACGATGTTATATTGAGTCGTCGGGACTTCAAGCGAATTTTGGGTATCTAAAGATTAGTGACGTAATACCGAAACAACGTTAAGCGGGCCGATGTTATACGAGGACTTCCTGTACTTACATGAGGTACAGTTA